CTTAGTCCCACCCTGTACTGCAGTGCACCCTCACTGCTGTCCTGGGGCTATAGCCGCAGCTCAGCTCTGAGCCACGGAGGCAGAGTGTCGCCCCTTCCCCGAGTCAGGGCCCATTCCTCTGCCATGGTTCCTTGGAACCAAAGCCATGCTGCCATGAAGTCTCTGACTGAAGCTGTGGAGGGCTGTCCTGTCCTCAGGTCCTGGGCACATCCTTCTTAGAAATGGTTGGGCCCATAAAGGGATTGGCCTGGGCTTCTCCACCCTACAGCGAGCCTCTGGATGGCCAGCAGCGGCCGTGGGCTGCCCTTCTCACTCCCATGACCCAGGTGGCCACTGCACAGCCTCACCACCAGCCGTGCTCTCGGCTGCCTGGACCCAGGCCCACAGCAGCCTTTCCTCCATGCCGTCCACTCTGGTCACCACAGCAGGGTTCCTGAGTGCTGCTGTTGTTTAGGTTAGAGTGTATGTGAGGGCCAAGTGCTCGCTCTTCCTACTTAAATAAATATATCTCAACAGGAAATGTTATGTCAGAACTTACTGTGAAAACTCAGCCTCATTTTCTATAAGTAGATGGTAGGCATGAAAGGAAACAATTAAGCTGCTTGCCGGGGGCCCACTTCTCCTGTGCCAGTAGTCCCTCCCAGGTCTCCGAATGCCCTGAGAGCTAACGTCATAATCCTCTTTTTTTTTTTTTTTTTAAAGATTTATTTATTTATTTTTTTGAAAGTCAGAGTTACGCAGAGAGAGGAGAGGCAGAGAGAAATTGGTCTTCCATCTGATGGTTCACTCCCCAATTGGCTGCAACAGCCAGAGCTGCGCCGATCCAAAGCCAGGAGACTGGAGCTTCTTCCAGGTCTCCCACACGGGTGCAGGGGCCCTAGGACTTGGGCCATCCTCCACTGCTTCCCCAGGCCACAGCAGAGAGCTGGATTAGCAGTGCTATGATGTTGTTCTGGAGTATAACCCATGGTTTCCTGAGGAATGGATGTTGGATGTGACAGCGTGGGAGCAGGTTCAAGTTCACGTGATGAAGGCATATGGGCAAGGGGAGAAGATCCCTTTTCAGTGGTGGGGTACATGGGTTGTGGTCAAAATAGTCATTCAGCAGCTAGAAGCAAAAGAGATGATTGATGTAGGAAAGGAAACCACTAAATCAATTCATGAATATGAACTTTCAAAGACCTGCCTAAGGTCCGAGCCCAGAAAGAAATAATGATTGGGCAAACACCAGGGCTGACTCCAGTTCCTACGGCATTGTTACCACCACCTCCACCTCCAACTCCTGGGGGCTCATGGCTTCAAAATAATACAGATGAGCCCCAGTAGCCATCCTCTGGGCATGCAAGACTCTTCCCACTGCTGCAACTAATTGCCTTAGCCGTGTCTTTCCACGGGAGCTCCCGGCTGCTTTGACTTTCGCTTTTGCTGTAAATTTTTATGCTGATGGGGAAATGGGACACAATGCCTGGACAGGAATGGGTTTTAAAGTTATTACTAATTTTTAAAAAGTATGCCCTATGTACAGCCCTACCTCATAGTATTGCATTGAGTTCTTGCATGCCTTGGTGGAAGATTGGCTTCCTCATGATTTTAAACGTGCTCACCAAAATTTTATTCTCAAACCAACAAGTCCTTCAGTGGCAAATGTGATTGGGGGATGCAAGAATGGTCCTAAAGAACAGGAGGTGTACAGTAATCCAGTGCATTTAACATAGAAAATCCTAATGGAAACTGGGGCTGTGGCTCAATTGGCAGATCTCCTCGCTCACATTCAGCACCCCATGATCTATTGGATTGAACAGGTTGCTATAGAAGCTTGGACAAAAGTAGATAGCAGCACTGCTGGTAGCTCATTTACTAAGATTATACAAGGACCAGGAAACAAATATAACCAGTTTATAGGACGGCTACAGAATGTGGGTGAAAAGATTATTTCAAATAAAGATCTAGCTGCTATCGTGCTAAGGCACACATTTTGAAAATGCCAGTGAGGATTGTCAGGCCGTTATCCTCCCTATTAAAGCATCAGGCAATGTGTTGGATTATATGAAAGCATGTCAGATATAGGCTGGATTAAACATAAGGCCCAAGGTGCTGCCATGAAGACCTTTCAGTACAAAAAGACGCACGAACAAAGTGTTACAATTTCAGAAAGCCTGGTCACTTCCAAAAAGAAAGCAGGGCCCCAAAGCTAAAATCCGAACAAAAAGGCAAGCACTCTAACCGGGGTTATACCCCAGATGTAAGAAAGGAAAGCACTAAGCTAATGAATGTAAATCTAAATGTAATAAAGAAGGACAACTACTTACAGTTAACAAGTCAAGAAATAATAGGGGGTGTTCCTTCAGCCCCAAAGGAAATGAAGGAGATAAGACTCCTAATATCATGCAATTAAGTGCAGCTACAAAAGGAAGTACTGCCTTGGATATTCCTTGTCCCTACTCTCTCACACTAAATTTCCTTAAAAATCCTCATAAAATCAATACAGGATATTTTGGCCCTGTCCCTCCGGGAACTGTTGGTCTCATTCTGGGCCACAGTAGTCTGGCCCTGGGAATTACGGTGCATACTGGGGTAATTGATGAAGATTATCAAGGGGAAATTGCAGTAATCCTTACTGTTCATCATTAAATGACATTTATTTAAACAAGAAGATTACATAGCCCAGTTATTGCTATTGCTCTATAAACCCCCTGACAATTCATTGCCTAACCCCAGGACTGGTGGGTTCAACAGTACAGACTTAACTACATGATTATCCACTACTCTAAAAGAAAACAATAAACCTATTTTAACACCCTAAATAAATGAAAAACACTTTGTGTGAATGTTAGATATCGAAGCAGATGTTTATCATTAAAAGTATTAAATGGCCTAATTCGTGGGTTAAGAAACCAACTTCTACTAGCCTAATTGGGATAGGAAGGTCAGATCAAGGACAAACATATGTTAGCATTCACTATCTCACAGTCACAGGCTCTGATAAAATTGAAGCGTTTATACAACCTTTCATTACAGAGTTACCTATATATAAACTTGTGGGGACGAGACTTCTTACAGCAAATTCCAGATTAGTGGTTAATGAGCCTTTTATATAGGGGCCATCATGGAGACTTTGCCTCTGAAAATAACCTGGAAATCCTTTGAGCCCATCTGGACTGCCCAATGGCCCCTTGCTAAAGTAAAACTAGAGACAACCCACTTAAGAGATGGGCCAAGGACCTCAATAGACATTTTTCAAAAGAGGAAATCCAAATGGCCAACAGGCACATGAAAAAATGTTCAGGATCACTAGCAATCAGGGAAATGCAAATCAAAACCACAATGAGGTTCCACCTCACCCCGGTTAGAATGGCTCACATACAGAAATCTACCAACAACAAATGCTGGCGAGGATGTGGGGGAAAAGGGACACTAACCCATTGTTGGTGGGAATGCAAACTGGTCAAGCCACTATGGAAGTCAGTCTGGAGATTCCTCAGAAACCTGAAGATAACCCTACCATTCAACCCAGCCATCCCAGTCCTTGGAATTTACCCAAAGGAAATTAAATTGGCAAACAAAAAAAACCAGTCTGCTCCTTACTGTTTATTGCAGCTCAATTCACAATAGCTAAGACCTGGAATCAGCCTAAATGCCCATCAACAGTAGACTGGATAAAGAAATTATGGGATATGTACTCTATAGAATACTATACAGCAGTAGAAAAACAATGAAATCCGTCATTTGCAACAAAATGGAGGAATCTGGAAAACATTATGCTGAGTGAAATAAGCTAGTCCCAGAGGGACAAATATCATATGTTCTCCCTGATCAGTGACAACTAACCGAGCACCAAAAAGGAAACCTGTTAAAGTGAAATGAACACTATGAGAAACGGTGACTTGATCAGCCCTTGCCCTGACTGTTGATGAACAAGTTAATACGTTATCCCTCTTAGTATTTTTTTTTTGTTTGTTCTACTTAATACTATTGGTTGAATTCTGTAATTAACACACAGTTATTCTTAAGTATTGAAACTTAACTGAAAAGTGATCCCTGTTAAATATGAGTGGGAATAAGAGAGGGAAGAGATGTACAATCTGGGACATGCTCAAGCTGACTTGCCCTAAACGGTAGAGTTGGAAACATACCAGGAGATTCCAATTCAATCCCATCAAGGTGGCATGCAGCAATGCCATCTCACTAGTCCAAGTGATCAATTTCGGTTCACAATTGATCATAATGATAGGACTAAGAGTAAAAGGGAGCACATAAACAAGACTAATGTCTGCAAATACTAACCGATAGAACAAAAAAGGGAGAGAACGATCCAACATGGGAAGCGAGATACACAGCAGACTCATAGAATGGCGGATGTCCTAAACAGCACTCTGGCCTCAGAATCAGCCCTTAGGGCATTCAGATCCGGCTGAAGAGCCCATGAGAGTATTTCAGGCATGGAAAGCCAAGACACTCTGGCAAAAAAAAAAAAAAAAAAAAAAGAAAAACCTAAATGAAAGATCTCCATGAGTGAGATCCCAGTGGAAAGAATGGGCCATCAAAGAAGGAGGTACCTTTCTCTGAAGGGAGGCGAGAACTTCCACTTTGATTATGACCTTGTCTAAATATGATAAGAGTCGGTGAACTCAAAAGGCTTCCATAGCCTTGGCCACTCATGACTGGAGCCTAGGGAGATTACTGATGCCATAAACAAGAGTGTCAAATTATTAAGTCAACAACAGGAGTCACTGTGCACTTACTCCTCATGTAGGATCTCTGTCCTTAATGTGCTGTACATTGTGATTTAATGCTATAACTAGTACTCAAACAGTATTTTTCACTTTGTGTTTCTATGTGTCCAGCAGAGAGCTGGACTGGTTAGCGGTTGGGGTTGGGGTGAGGGTTAGGGTTTGGGTTCAGGTTCCGGTTAGGGTTAGGATTAAGACAGTTGAGAGCCTGTGAGCATGAGCTAGAATGGTACAAACTCCCCTCGTACTTACCCCAAGCACCTCTCTTAGCTCTCCTTAGTGCTGGAACCAGAGGAACAGCTGAGAACCCTGTAACTCCTCATCTACCTTCTATCTCCCTGCAACTGTGACAGCCTCCACCACCTCCTACAGTTCCTCTCCATCGTGGCCAGGCATGCTGATGACAATATCAGCCAAGATGGACAAGAAGTAAGACACCTATCCACGTTGTGACTCTTTCTTTGTCCTGCTTTCAAAGGAAAAAGCCACCGAGATAGCCAAACATTTCACCAGGAGAAAATGACAGCTCTTCTTCCCTGACCTATTCCTTTTTTTTTTTTTTTTTTTTTGACAGACAGAGTTAGACAGTGAGAGAGAGACAGAGAGAAAGGTCTTCCTTCTGTTGGTTCACCCTCCAAATGGTTGCTACAGCCGATCTGAAGCCAGGAGCCATGTGCTTCCTCCTGGTCTCCCATGCGGGTGCAGGGCCCAAGCACTTGGGCCATCCTCCACTGCCTTCCGGGGCCACAGCAGAGAGCTGGACTGGAAGAGGAGCAACTGGGACTAGAACCCAGAGTGCTGGCACCGCAGGTGGAGGATTAGCCTAGTGAGCCATGACGCCGGCTCCCCTGGCCAAATCTAAGGTCTTGGGTTCTGGTTCTCTTTGGTCACTCTCACAGGCTTCAAGATTTTTTTCCAGCTTTTCCCATGGACAAAAGAGACACTGGCCTCCATTTGGAGAGGCCAGGATGGAACTTTGCCAAGGTAGCCGTGTATTTCAATAGTTAATTATAATTAATGAAATACCTCCTGGCTTCGGGTTTCACACTAGGGTGCTGACACCTCATTTCGGCAATGACGGATCGTATATGCTTATGTTGTAATCTTCATAATTGTTAGGTACGATGTGTCTGCACATCAGCCTTTATCAACTCCAGAGACAACAGCTGCTATGAGGCTGTCTGCCCAATGCACAAAGGAATACAAAAGTCAACCGAACTCTTCGTTGACTTTTTAAGAAAATTTCAGACATTTCTTCCTGCCCAATGCTAAACGAGACTCCGTTGCCTATCCCCCCCCCCACCAAAAAAGAAGAAAATATTCTTGAAAAGCTACAAAGGAAGCTTAGCATGCTGGGAGATTCTCTACCCTTTGTCTCTTCTGTCTCACCAGTCATAGGGAAAACGGCTGCTCCCGTTGTAAATGTTTCCATGTACGAACGGTCTTGGTATTTGAGTCATGTGTGTCCCGAGCGCCTACCCTGAGTCGCTCTAAACCAATGTTGGTTCAGGAATCTTTTGGGGAAAATAGCAGCATTGTATTGGATTGTGGTGTTTTGATATCTGATGTTTTTTGTTTTATTCTGTTTTGCTCAGTTGGCTGTTTGTTCCTTTAGGGAAAAGGAATTCCCAAATATAAGCGACTTCATTTCTCCTAGAAAGAATATAGCAGGAAGAAAATTAAGAGCTCTTGAACAGTGGTGTTTCGGAGAATCTCGGAACACCTGGCATTGCTTGGAAAACGTGGTGTGAGGACAGACTATTCTGGTTAAGGCTGTAGCTGCATCGGTTCACGGAGTCTGTGAGGAAGGATAGGAAGGAAGGAAGGGAGGGAGGGAGGGATGGAGGAAGGAAGGAAGCAAGTAGGGACATAGGGACGTAGGGAGGGAGGAAGGAGGAAGGAAGGAAGGACAGACATAGAGCCCTTATTACTGGTCACTGCAGGGCATCGGCCTTTAAGGTTGGTAGGTTGGCTCTGACACTTGGCAGGGTCAGTGCCTTACTCACCTCAGCCTCTTCTGGCCCCTCTGGAAAGCCCCTGTCCCCATCTCCCCATTCCATGGCTCAATCTGTCAAGCAAGAGTGAACAGGAGGAGGTGCATCCCCCAGGGAAGAAAGGAGGGCTCTGGGTATCACCTCCACAGTCTAAAAGTAAGAACAGCCACTGTTGCTTCCTGGACTTATAATGAGAAGGAGTTAGCAGAGCCTATGGAGAGTACCTGGCCCAGTATATGTCCATGCTAGACTTGGAGTAAATGTGAACGATTCATATGAAGCTTCAAAATGATCCAAGAGGCTTACATAGTGAGTATAAAAGTTTTCCTTGAATTGGATGGCTAATTGAATAATGTTCTGTTGGCCTGCCTTGGCTATACCTCATGTTACCTAGACAGCACCATCTGGAGGTATGATGATATGCTAAAACATAGAGAACCAAGGTGGAAGTTTCCTGAGTGAAAATCTCAAGAAAAAAGCAATAAAAATCACAAAAGTGTTAATAAACCACAGCATCTTGGTCTGCAGCTGGAATCTGTGTGTAGTTATACAGATTGGATTGCATTCTCAGAACAGCAACCAGAGAAGGAGCAGAAACAGAGCTCAGGATTGTCCTTATTCTAAACATTCTTTTACAAGAAAACAAAAGCTTCTACTTGTTAATGTCTGCCTCTTAGAGGTGTTTGGGGAGTAAACCAGTGGATGGAAGATCTCTGTCCCTCTGACATTCAGATGAATATAAATAAATACATAATTTTTAAAGAAAATAAGTATATAGATACGTCTGCTCATGGGCAAGTGTTGGAATGGCTGATACTTGGCAGTGGTGGGATTATGGGCATTTCTTCTCCATGCTTTTCTGTCTTTTTTTAGTTATTAATATGTTAAATGTGATGGGTGCTGGGTTCTTGACCTGGTTGCCCCTCTTCCAGTCCAGCTCTCTGCTGTGGCCCAGGAAGGCAGTGGAGGATGGCCCAAGTGCTTGGGCCCTGCACCCACATGGGAGACCAGGAGGAAGCACATGGCTCCTGGCTTCAGTTCGGTGCAGCACGCTGGCTGTAGCAGCCATTTGGGGAGTGACCCAACGGGAGGAAGACCTTTCTCTCTGTCTCTCTCTCTCACTAACTCTGCCTGTCAAAAAAAAAAAAAAAAAAACTTACAATAGAATGAAAATGACAGTGGATCCTGACACAGATGATGACATCCTGTGTCAGAAAGAAGATGGAAACAAACAAAAAAAGTCATTGACAATCAAATCCCTTAACCAAAGCAAAGCTAAGAGCAGGCCTTGCATTCTCTTCTCCCATAGGTCCCTGGGAATACAATGATGTCTCTGAACTTGGCCACCATCTTTGGAACCAAACTGCTGCACAAGGATAAGTCATCAAAGAATTTTCAGTCCAGAGCTCGGCCCGGGCCGAGGAGAGCGTGGTCATCATCACGGTGGTGCAGAAGACGATTGAGAACTACGAAGCCTTGTTCATTGTAGGTGGTCCTGCTCTGGGGTGGAATGTCCTAGAAAACTGCTATGGTTGTCTCTGGTGCCAGAAAGAAACTCTTGTCCAACACCTTCCAGCCTAGGGTGCTAGCCATTGACTGAATTCATCGGAAGCCAGTGAATCTAGTTGCCTATTTTAAATCATGAATAGTTTATCTACATTTATGCAATGCCTTATCCTAGATTGATTTCCATGCTGGTTTTATTCCAAGTGTGTTTGTAAATTCGAGAGCCAGCAGTTTAGAATATTTGTCCTCTGAGTTTTACCTATGTTATTGTGACAAGGAAGTCAATACTCAAGAAGCATTAGCTTCAGCTCCTATGAAATAGGAAAAATTAAAAATAGGACCTAAACACTGCCCAAACCTAGAAGGGGCATCCATCATGTCCACTCAGATCCCATTGACCAGAACTTACCCACAAGCTACACTTAGCTGCAAGAGAGTCTAGGAAGAGAACATGGATTTACCACAGTGAATATGGGCTAAGTTAATGAATGACTCAGTGGTAGTTCTGTGACACATGATTTGCATATTACCCATCCATACTTTTATATATATATGAAAAAGTTTAGGCATGGAAGAATTAAGAATATCTTTCTCAGAGTAATTTAATCATTAACTGATCATTCTTGATCTCTTCGGGATTATGGCAATATGTTGAGAAAAGAACAGTGGAGTGGGGGGGGATGCAGGTCCCACACCTCGGTCTGTAAGAAGAAACTCTCTAGGACCAGAAAACTTCCCTATAGCCCTGCGTTGGCCATACATTAGCTGCATGACCTCGTCTTATATTTCTCTCTTTATCCAAGGACCGTATTTAAGGAAGTGCTACCCAGGATGGCTGAATTCTAAAACATGCATGGTTCAATCTCCTAGCATTAACGTCCCCTCTTTTCTTTCTTAAAGCACCTGAGAAAATTAATCTAATTTTACAGTATCTTGCTGTTTCAGATTCCAGTTGGTTATACTAAGGCTGGGTTGTTGACTGACAATCCTGTTCTTGTACATGGACAAGAAGTCGATCACGTATATAGATCTTTCATTTTATCTTGCTTGGCTTTTTAAAGATTTCAGAAGGATTAAAGGGCAGAAAAGAACGTGGCTTTTGTCCTGTGGAACATAAAACCACCTAGAGGCCGACACATAATTCAAGAGTTGAGCCAGGAAAGGCTTTGGCATGGGCTGTTTGGTTTTGATTTAGAAATCCTACAGCTAGATCCCAGTCACAGCCATCATGACCCCTGAATCAAAAACACCAAGCCATCAGATTATAACATTGGTTCTCAAACTGGAGTGGGCAGAAGGGTCACCAGGAATCTCATCGTACATTCAGATTCCCAGGCAACACTTGAACAGATCTGGCTGGAAAACACAGGAATGGGACCCAGGATTCTGAAGTTAACACCTCCAGGAGGTCCGGGTCGTTTCCTACCCATATCCTGGGAAATCACATCTTGGGGAAACACTGGTAGGTTGGGAAGACCATAAGCTTTGGAAATTTAAATTTCTCGAAACAGTTTCCATGTATTCCCTACGTACAGATTGAGGAACATAGTCATCCTTCCCACCCTCTCCTGCCCATGCTCCTACCCTTCCTCCACCTCCTGCTCTGATTCTCTCTCTTAATTTTTACAGATTTACATTTACAAATGCATTAACCCTGCACTAAGGAAAGATTTCAACAAATAGTAAGAAGGAAAAAAAAAATTGTTCCTCAGCTGTAGAGCTAAGGGCCTTAGGCAATGGTTGACTCTCAAAATGTCAATTTCGCTCAAATACATTATGTTCTTTTAAAAGATTTTATTTATTTGAGAGTTAGAGTTACATAAGGTGAGAGAGAAAGAGAGGGAGAGAGAAAGAGGCAGAGAGTGAAAGAGAGACAAAGAGAGAGAGAAAGAGAGAGACAGTGAGAGAGGAGAGAGAGAGAAAGAGAGAAAGAGAGAGGTCTTAGAATTCTTAAGAACTTCAGAACTGAGTGGAGAACACTGTTAGCTCCTTCTAAGGCTTTTTTGGGGGCCAGGCAAGGAGGAGAAGACAACGCATGTGTAGGCTGAGAAGTCCCAAGAACAGTGGCAGACATGGGAAAGCCTGCAAGTTCCCACCCCACTGGTCCAGTTCAGCGCATGTGGGAAATTTCCAACGAGCGCTTTTGGAGTGAGGATCAGAGGCTGTGATGCGGATTCAAGCTAAGAGATCAAGCTTTGTGCTCTCTTCCTTCCCCAGTGCACATTGCATTTTCTTTTTCTTTATTTTATTTATTTAAGAAGCAGAGAGAGAGGGAGGTAGGGAAAGAGGGAGAGGGAGAGAGAGCGGGAGGGAGAGAGAGAGAGGGAGAAGGAGGGAGAGAGGGAGAGAGAGATGGAGAGGGAGAGGGAGAGAGGGAAAGGGGGAGATAGATGGAGAGAGAGATGAAGAGAGGGAGAGAAGGAAGAGGAGTGGGAGAGAGAGAGGGAGAGGGAGATGAAGAGGCAGGGGGAGAGAGAGAGGAAGAGGGAGAGGAAGAGATGAAGAGAGGGAGAGGGAAAGGGAGGGAAGGGGAGGGGGAGGGGGAGAGAGGGAGAGTGAGGGAAGGGGAGAGGGAGAGAGGGAGGGAGGGAAGGGGAGGGGGAAAGACGGGGGAGGGAGGGAAGGAGAGGGGGAGGGACAGGGGGAGGGAGGGAAGGGAGGGGAAGAGACAGAGGAGGAGGGAGGAAAGGGAGGGGAAGAGAGAGCGGGAGGGAGGAAAGGGAGAGAGGGAAGGGGAGGCAGGAGAGAGAGAGAGAGAGAGGGAGGGAGAAAGAATCAGCAACCAGAGCCAGGCATTGAGCCCAGGCTCTCTGAGTTAGGTGTAAACATCCCAACCAGCATCTTAACTGCTAGACTAAATCCTCACCTCTCGGTTTTCTCAAAACTTCTCTTGCACGCCAGGTATGAAAGAGTCAACCAGGTCATCAGATGAGAAGCTGCTCCTAACAAATATCCCCCATTTCCAGAATAGCTCTGTATGCTGAGTCTTGTAGATTCTTTGATTGACTGGCAGAGTTAGACAGTGAGAGAGCCAGAGAGAAAGGTCTTCCTTCCGTTGTTTCACCCCCCAAATGGCCGCTCCGGCCGGCGCTCTGCGACAAGCTTCCTCCTGGTCTCCCATGCGGGTGCAGGGCCCAAGCACTTGGGCCATCCTCCACTGTTCTCCCAGGCCACAGCAGAGAGCTGGACTGGAAGAGGGGCAACCGGGACTATAACCCATCGTCCCTCTCTCTGGAATCGTCCCTGTTGATGCCTCCACATTCGGCTTCTCCAGGTCCCTCCCGATCTCCAGAACGAGGTGTTCGTCAGCCTGCTGGAGACCGATCCTGACGTCATGAACTATTTACTCGGAAGGAAAGCTTCCCAATCCTCTTGAATAGGCCTTGATGCTGCCTTCCATCTGCAGGGGTTGGCTGCCCCCTGCTGGCTGTCGTTGGCAACTACTAGACAGGGCTCCAGTCATTCCCGTGCCCTAGTTCTACCTGGTTCATGTGTTGGGTTCTTCTCCCATCTAATGGCTGTTATTTATGTGGAACTGCCTGCCCTAGTTCTACCTGGTTCCATGTGTTAGGTTCTTCTACCATCTAGTGGCCGTTATATGGAACTGCTCCCACCTTTTCTACAAAGTTGGGTAGGATCATTTTGATCCTATTGTGTGTCTCTGGGCCCTAACCCGCTCACACACCTCTAACTATTCTCGTTGTGCCAGCAGCCCTGACATGCTACCGTCAGGAATTTCCTTCTGCACGGAAGGAAGGCACTCATCCACAGACTCCCACAAAGCCTCCACCGGAGACGTCTCCCCCTACAACAACTTCCCGGTGCAGTCTGAATGCTCCCTGCCGTCCGAGCCCAAGACCAGAGAAAGTTTTCCTGGACGCAGGCTTGGAAAAGGTAACGGGACCAAGGCCAGTGCTGGACCAATCCAATGACTCTGTTCTTAATGCATTATGGCATGGTTCAGGGCACATCCAGGTCCTCTCCACATCCATCTCCTCTTTGGTGCCTTGGTCACTCCATGAGCATTTATAGGGTCCCTGCTGAATACAGCCCCATTGCTCAGATGTCTGGGGGCTCACGTGCCCCCAAGGAGCGGCCCGGATTCCCAGCTGATTTCTCATCCCTCCATCAGCTCTGGCTACTGTACCCTGACCAGTGGCTTGAGCGACATATTTGCTATGTCTCTAAGATCACCCCATATGGCTAAGTACCCTATTATTATGTGTGTTGTAAAATGTTCTCTATTCCATCCAGTTTAACTGCAAAACTATTTTTGACCAGCAGGGAGCGATATGTTTCAGTATTGGAATTTTTTTTTATGGCTAATATTGCTTGGATAGTGTGTGGCTGAACCAGCCACACCCAGGGGCTGTCCAGAGTGTCCACCTATTGTCCAGCCCAGAGTCCGAAGAGAGCCCATTCCCTCCCACTATGCTTTTTTTTTTTCCTAGACGTCTCACAGGAGCTTTTCAATCTCTGGGGAACTTGGCATTCAACCTTAAAAAGCGGGTCCAAGGACTCCGTGTCACACGTGGGCGGCAGCAGCGCACCCGAGTCATCCTTGGCCTTGGATAGTGCACGAGACCTCGCGCAGAGCGAGCCGCACGTGGCCCGGCTGCGGACAAAATGCTCCAACCAGAGACCTCGGGAAAGCTGCTGGGTTGGCCAGTGACCCCCTCCTCCGTCCCCGGGCCCGGGGATTCCGCCTAGGAGCCCTGGCCGCAGAAGCCCGAGGAGGCCAGTGACCAGAGGGCCTCGGGGCGGCCACTTGGCTTGACTGGCAGCATAAGTGGTGGCAAATCTGGGAGCTGCTGTCCACCAATGGCTCCGACGCCCTGCCCGAGACGCTGGTATGAGAGCGGGGCCTGAGTCAGAGAACCCTCCCGATGTCTGAGATGGAGTCGTCCAAGATTGAGCCCCCTCCCAACGTCCAAGATGCAGTCGTCCAAGACAGAGCCCCCTCTTGACGTCCAAGATGGAGTCGTCCAAGATGGAGGCCCCCCCAACGTCCAAGACACAGCCCCCTTCCCCCTCCCAAGACAGAGCCCCCCTCCCACGTCCGAGACAAGGCCCCCTCCCACGTCCTCTTTCCAAGGTGGTGATGGACAACTGGCCACTTTTTCTTCCTTCCTTTCACCATTTAAGAAAGCAGCACGATCCCCAGTCCACAGCCACCCACGTGCGCCTACCATACAGCTCTCTCTTCCGTGTAGCTTAACTGTATTTACGGGTCTCTGATGTCTATGACTGTATATTCTGTAATGGATGATGTGTGATAAATATATGATAGCTTCACAATTTTTAAAATCACTTCACTGATGTTAGCCAATGAGAGGCCATAGAATCTAGAATTGAATGTTCTAGAACATGCACAAGTGGGTGTCTGTGCTTTTGGCCATAGCCTGGCAAATATCTTAACAATTTTTAAAATCACTTCACTAACGTTAGCCCACGAGAGGCCATAGAATGTTCTAGAATATGCACAAGCGGCTTTCTGTGCTTTTTGGCCATAGCTCGGTGACTGGGCACAGCCTTTCATTCAATGCCTAAGAAAAACACTAACAAAGCCAGAGTACGAGAAGCCATATTTTTCTATATTTGTGAGATGCCAAAAAAAAATAGTCACAGAAAATGATTTTTCATACCAAAAACAAGGGAACTGTTACATTTGATACATTATGAAGTCTATTTTTAGAACCTGTTTAGCAAGGATTTGGTCAAAGAAACCAAAATGGCCATGTCTAAGAAAGAAGAATTAAGAAATTCTCTGTCCTGTGTTGAGGTCGAAATCAATTTTATGTAGACCTTCTAGAATATGTATTTATAAATGTCTAATTTTATGTATTTTTCAAAACAACAAACTGGCATCCAAGGGGAAAGTGTTGAAGAGTGTAAGTATGCAAATTATAGAAGAACCGGATTTTTCCTGTTGCCACTTCCATCCAGCTTTTTTTTAACTGCAAAACTATTTTTGACCAGCAGGGTTGATATGTTTCAGTATTGGATTTTTTGTTTGTTTTTTTCACTTCAGAAGGGAAAAGTGTATTAAAGAATTTTTTTTTTATAAAACATGCTACTCTTCATTTTCATGTAGGCAGTGAAATGTTCAGTGGTTATTTCCCCAAGTTAAATCTTGCGCCGTGATGAATAAAATGTTACGCAGAGGCTCTGTTCCCTGGTTCTAAGTGTGATGATGAACTCACACCTGTTCCAGACATGCACTTCACTCTCCACAACCCCAAGGGTACAAAGCAACGGAAATTCTATTTTATATATATATTATATATATATGATATCAGATATCTTGGGACCATCAACTCGGTGCCCCCGAAGCATTTAGAAACTTATAATTTATAATTATTTGTTAAAAGTGAAGGGTGAGGGCTGGCGCCATGGCTCACTTGGTTAATCCTCCACCTGAGGCGCCGGCATCCCACATGGGTGCCAGGTTCTAGTCCCGGCTGCTCCTCTTCCAGTCCAGCTCTCTGCTGTGCCCCAGGAAGGCAGTGGAGGATGGCCCAAGTGCTTGTACCTCATGATCCCTGTATTACCTCACGGTCCCTGTATTACCTCACGATCCCTGCTGTTTCTAGACAGAAGACTTAGCTTCATTTTACCATATACAAATATTTTGATGTAGAGTTTAAGGCTGTTGGATTTTTTTTAAAAAACTCCACACCAAACCAATGCCACCAGGAAATCCAGACCAAATTAAGTGTTCGGATGATGAAGTCCATTCACTAATCTCACACAACAATATTCAGAATAAATGAAAGGATTTAATATTACCAACACTGTTTTGAAGTTCCTGGGACATCATGAGTGCAGTTCGGTTTGGGGGAAATAATGTGCCTCCCAGGAAAAAAAAATAGTTTCCGTCTCAAACGGAACAGTGCTTACGAAGTCCAGCGCCACCAAGCAACTTTCATTCTGTCCCACACAGCCGAGAATGAATCCAGGGCAGGCCGGACGTCCAGGATGGTGAACTGGTAATCCTTGTTGACTTCGCCACCGTCATAGTAGTCAATCACGTATCGAACTTCCGTCCCACAGCGGTCGATGATCCAATCGTGCCGGTCGAAAGGCAACTCATACCTGATACGAAGATACAGTGGTCAGTTACTGGCTGTGCCTTCCACCCCAGCTTAATCACTGAGGAAGACTGATCTATAATGGCCCGGGAGGGCAGTGGAGGATGGCCCAAGTGCTTGGCCCCTGCACCCGCGTGGGAGACCAGGAGGAAGCACCTGGCTCTTGGCTTCAGATTGGCACAGTGCGCCAGCCATGGTGGCCATTTTAGGGGTGAACCAACAGAAGGAAGACCTTTCTCTTTGTCTCTCTCTCTCTCACTAACTCTGCCTGTCAAGTTAAAAAAAAAAAAAAATTGCACCAAAACTTACCCCATCCAGGAACGAATCCTTGCCCTCGGTGAATACTCTTTGGCCTTCCCTCCAAACCGGATCAAGGAGGGACCACAAGGACACTCTCTAGAAAAACCCCATATGAGACAAGACTGTTAAGATATTATCTTTAGCAAAGATGACGTTCCAGTCTGACGTACTTTTCTCTGTCTGCATTTCACACGGAGTCGTATCACATTTACTTCTCAAATGATTCAAAGACATCAGTGCCCCAAATCATTGGAACGACACATTCAGACTCAGGAAATCAGAGAGGTGCTAGAAGGACTAAGAGCTCCAACGTACGCTGCGTGAAGGACTTCCCACTTCAGAATCTCCTTCCAGGCCTGCTCGTTGTTCTGATTGTGGATTCTAATGATGTTGTGCATGTCTCTCTGACTGATGTCTTCATCCTTCCATTTCCACCTAGGAAAGAACAGGAGGTGAGATGGGATGACTCCCATTCCTAGGGACGAAAAGTTAACCCACGTATTTGTAAGACAATTGATTAAACATGATTCTTTAGGAAAGAACTAAGAATGTTCATTTTCACCAAACTGAATGGATCCAAAATTCCTTTTTAACTATAAATCTAATATATATTCTATTTATATTATATAAATAAAATTTATATTATAGTGTTTATATTTATTTATGTACTTATTTTATGTTTTATTTTATATTTTTATTTCTCATTTTCCTGAGTCAGCAAAACACAGACTCATAGAAATACTAAGAAACCACCTATTTTTTATTCCACATTTTTTCAGTGAGTACCACTTCTTAATAATTCTCTCACTTTTTTCCAAGCCTTTTATATAACATTTTTTGTTTTTTTTAAATGATGACAAGCTCTGACAGTTCTGAAAAAGCCATTAATTACTCTGAACGGATTAACTCATACACTCTTCCTGTATGTTTGGGGGTTAAAACCTCTTAACAATTCTGAGATAAATGTGGTGAACCCGTTGATATTCTAAACGACATGCTCGCTCACTTACCCCTTCCTTAACATTGCGTTCCAAAACATCTGTTCCGAGGGATAAACCCACTTTTTCTCGGAACCTGCTCTAGGAATGGACGACTCCTCCCTGGCAGTAGACAATGCAAAAGGCTGATCTGGGGCTGGTGTTTGGTTCGCTGGTGGCATCTACATAAAACAAGCACATTTTTTTTTTTTTTTTGACAGGCAGAGTTAGACAGTGAGAGAGAGAGAGAGAAAGGTCTTCCTTCCATTGGTTCACCCCCCAAATGGCCACTATGGCTGGCCGCTGCACTGATCCAAAGCCAGAAGCCAGGTACTTATCCTGGTCTCCCATGCGAGTGCAGGAGCCCAAGCGCTGGGGCCATCCTCCACTGCACTCCTGGGCCACAGCAGAGAGGTGGACTGGAAGAGAAGCAACCGGGACAGAACCAGCACCCCAAATCATTGGAACTAGAACCCGGGGTTCCGGTACCGCAGGCAGAGGATTAGCCAAGTGAGCCGCGGCGCTGGCCTCTCACTGATCACGAGAATCCATCTCTGAATATGTCCCATAAAGGCTGGGTTACCAGATTGGAAGGATCCAGGTCGTCCTTGGCCTTGAACTGGGCACCCGTGATGGGACACACCACATACTCGTATGCGCGTTCCTGGTGAGCAGGCACGGAATAGGTTTTCTTCTCATACTGTGAGTCGGACAGTCCTGCGGTCATCGGACAACCTGAAATCACCAAGTCCACAACCAGCGTGAGCATCAAGGACACGTAGCTTTCTAACTGCATCTCTCTCTCAAGAGCTGAATCTCTGGGGATTTCACACACACACACACACACACACACACACACACACACCAAATGGAATCAAAGGATATGTTGGATGCAAGAGAAAATTTTCTTAAATCCATGCACATGAGGAATCTTCAAAAAAAAAAAAAACTTCATGGACTCTAACTCTGCCTGTGGGAAAAAACAAACAAACAAACAAACAAAAACCCAAAACACCTCATGGACTCTCACTAACTCTGCCTGTCAAAAAAAAAAAACTTCATGGAAATTTTTCCTTGGTCGACAAAGGGTCAGTGACCTGTGGCTTTCCCGTCATGCATCGGGCACCGGGAAGGCGGGGACTCAGTCTGCTGCCCAGAAGCTTTCGCCGTCTCCGCCGCCGGAGTCGATGTAGACGCGCCCATGACTGGAATCCAGGTTGATTCCACACAGTTCTCAACCCGCAGCTGCCGAAACAAAGAGACAGATTAACGCGGACGCCTAGGCCGGGTTCCGGGTGGCGGGGATGTGGGCGAGGAGAAATCACGTCATAGCGAGGCGACTGCGTAGGGGTGGGGTCTCCGCACCTCAGGCCTCCGCCGGGCTGCTCCCCGACGCCGGCGCCGCCTCGAAACCGAGCCCAGAGGGCCGCTCCCTGCCGGCCGCGGCAGCCACTTTCTCTTTCGCTCGGTCACCGCTGTCAGCCGGGTCACCGCCGGCCCTGGCGCGCGCGCGCGCCTCTACTTCCGTTTTCCGAAGGCGGGGCTTCCGGGCGCAGCGCGCCTGCTGATAAAAAGCGGCGTCCATCACTCAGGGAGCGTGGGGCGGGGCGAGGGCG